TGCTGAAACACTTGGCAAGATTTCTGCCCCTTTCCCCTCTTGGCCAGGATTGTGCAAGATGGGGGAACAGAAAGGCCCGTGTCGTAGGGACATTCTCGGGCTCTGCACCTCCTGCAGTGACAAAGGTGCCTTCTGTGCTCTCCCTGTGCCCCTTCCTTTCGCCCCATTGGCCCCATGCATAGTTAGTGGCCCCCGACCTGGATGTCTGTATGCTCTGACCGCCCCCCCTAGGGTCCTCTCCACCCAGCCCCTCTAACTGGGCAGCAGGGCTGGGCTGGGTCTGCACTGCAGGGAGCCCCTCCCTGCCCTGGGAAGATACAGACAGCCTCGCTCCAACAGACCATGTGCTGTTTCCTGGTTCTCCTGAGGGTCAGGGGAGGGCGGGGCAGCCGAGAGTGGAGCTGCTGGCCAAGAAGGACAGGGCGTCTGCTCTGAGCTCACTAAGCCCAGATCCTGGCCCTCCCAGGAGCCCACCAGGCCGGTGAGATGCCTGAGCGGCTGACCTGGGAGTGCGCCCTGCCTGGATTTGAACCCTCCCTCTGTCCTTCACATCCCATCTGTAGGAATACTCAGGACTGCACCGACCCCTGAGGCCTCGGCCTCTCCTGGAAGCCCAGTGGGCAGAGGCGCCGAGAGGGCACAGACCTCAGTCATGGCTGCCCCACGGAGCGAATGCTGAGGCTGCAGTCCCAGGTCATCGTGGAGCTGCAGGGGTGTGGGCAGGCAGCCCTGGGCAAGGTGGGCTGGGGTATGGGGAAGGTGGTTCTGCCCTGCTGCTCTGGACACCTGTTGCTTTGGGTCCCGGGAAGTATAAGGAGTTGACCTTGTCCCCGTCTCGGGCTGCAGCTTTTGGAGCCCAGTGGCCCAGGCTGGGATTCCAGAATCATCCTTGAGCTGACTGATCCTGGCCTTGCCCTTGAGGGAAGCGTCTTCCTCCTTGGAGGCCTGGGAGGTGGTGTTTGACCCTCGGCCCTGTGCAGTGTTCCCCAGAGACGCTCAGTACTGGGCCGGGCCACCTGGGAGCTGACTTGAGGCTGGACTGAGGTTCAGACATGAGTAACAGGCCCTTGCTGGTTCTGCCTCCCTGCTGGGTGGGCCTCCCAGCCTGGGCTCTGGGGTGGCCGGGCCCTGAGGGAAGGAGCCTTGGAGGGAGACCTGAGCTGGTGGGGAGGGTGTGGCCTTGGCCTCCCTGAGGCCACAGAGGTCCCCCCTGGACTCCTTTCCCTCAGGCCCTGCCCTGCCTGCCCATCAAGGTGATGAAAGGGCAGGAAGCGAAGATGAGCAAAGCTTTGGGGACAGTGTTGCCACCAAAGCCTGCCCCTCTGGAAGCGCCAGTGGCCTCCCACCCTCCTGACTCCCACCCCTCACCCTGCTCTCAGCCCCAGAGGTTTCACCCCTGCTATATTATTTGACCTTGAAAGGTATCGAGTCTGCTGTGACTTAGATGCTGGGGAGGCAGAGGATGGAGCTCCGAAGCATCCCAAGTAGGGGAGGGGCACGAGGAGCCACTGGTCGGAGTCCAGACTGAGTGTGGGTGCAGACTCTGGGGTATGAATTGGAGTGGGAGCAGGTGCAGGGGTTGGGCCTGCAGCCGAGCTGCCCACAGCGCGAGTGGCAGGGCAGATGGCTGGTTGGTCTGCAGGAATACTCAGGACTGCAGCGACCCCTGAGGATGGGTTTGCCCGCCTCCACCCCCTCCTCCTCTGTAGAAGGCTACCCTGCCGATTCTGCAGGCGTGCACGGGCACACCTAGGGATGGCGGTGTCCTTGCACGAGGTTCTCTCTGAGCTTCTGACCCAACCGACGCAGAGCCCCTTGTTCTCTCTGCCGGCTCCAGGCCTGGCTCAGACCACCTGACCTTGCCTCTGTCCCTCTGTCCTCATCTCTGTTCCGGTCTTTGCCTCTGCTGACCCCTCTTCACCTGCCTTCTCTCCTGGTCCAGCCCTAGAGGTTGGTTCAGGTGCTGCAGGAGGTGACAGAGTGAAGAGGACGTGCCCAAGGGACCAGAGTCTAGAATGTGCAGGCCCAGCTACACCTCATGGCCAGGAGTGGGATGGTGTCTAAGGACAGTTACAGACATGGCTGGGACAGAGGCCAGCTATGGCCACAACTGTCCTGGCTGATGGCGACCAAGAGTCGGTACTGGGCTGGCTGGAGCTGGGGGCAGGGACAGGGGTGAGCTGCGGACGATTCCTCACACCATCTACCTTCGGAGGGGCAAGGAGCCAACTCTGCAGGCTGGGCTGGGGGCAGAGAGGGAAATTTCTGCCCACCTTCTACAGAGTCCAGCAGGGCTGCAGGGAGAGGGGCAGTTTAACATGCACACCTGGGACCTGGCCAGTGCCCTTGGGAGTATGCTGGACTCTAGGCCCCTGGGTATAGGGTGAGGACCATGGTGTAGACCTTCCACTCAGACTTGGCCCCATTTCCCATCCAGCCTCTTCCCACTGGGTAGGCCCCTGGTCAAGGAGGAGACTCACTCACGGTGCCAGAGCTGGGCCAGTCCCTGGGCCCTGGAGCTCTCGGAAAGGTCAGTCCCACCCATTGGGCATGCCGGGCACTGTCTGTTTTCCCTTGGCCACTCTGATAGCTCCTGCTGTGGCCACTGGGCTGGTCCTGCAGGGCTGCCTCTGCCACCTACGGATGCCCCTACTAAGCCCTCAACAAGCCAGCAGGAGGAAGCCAAGCCCCTCCCAGAGGGGCTGGGCCTGGAGAAGCCAAGGCTGGGCCTCCCAAGTTCTGCTCCAGGTCTGCTTAGCAGAGGCAGGGACGTAGAGATGGCTCCTACCTGGATTTTCTGTGGCCTTAGAAGCCAGCACTCTGGCGGCTCCCACCACCCCACCCCACTCTCTGGAAGGCTCTCCTCTTGCCCATGCCCAAACTGCGGAGGAGCCTCTGAGACTCATGGAGGACCCAGGCCCCACCCTGGTCCAGCCCAGATGGGCGGGCAGCCGAATGCTCCCCGGCCATTCCTGCATCCCAGGAATCCAGTCTGACTCCTTGGGCTAGTTTCTAGAAGTCTGAGTATTGTTCAGCCCTGAGGTGAATGGCTAAGGGGAAGTCCCCTCTGACCTGTTGGAAAGGGCTGGCAGGAAGTGACCTGCAGGCGTCTCAGAGCAGGGGCCAGTCTGGGTGCCTAGAGACCATATGGTTCCAGGAGGCCCGAGTACAACCCCAGGAGCTTTTGTCCGCAGACGGGCAGGTCTGCCCCCTAACACCAGAAGTGGGAAGGACTCTTCACTGGAAAGTGCTTGCTTCTTCAGGGTTTGGGTTCTCTCCTGTTTCCAAAATCAACTGCCCAGCCCCCAGACCCCATCTCTCAGGACCTCAGCTCCTCCCAGCTCTGCACTGCTCTGCCTGGGCTGCAGCCCCCCACTCCCTGCTCCCAGGCCTGTGGCTGGGCCTCTGTGGGACACCATCAAAGGTGGCCCACTCTGGAGGCAAAGTTGGTAGCAAACTGAATTGTAGTTCTGGAAGGCACAAGGTGACTGTGGTTAAGACCCCTTGGGCACATGCCCAGTGTCCCGTTGGGCTGCAGAGCTGGGGAGAGGACATCGCGGATGGCAAGACCCTATTAAGGGTGCATCTCTCTCTCTCTCATATGACATGTATTCTCTATCATTAATTACTTAATTTGTAAAACTTATTTATTTTAATATGACCAGAGAGGGAAA